CAATACAAAATCAGACGTAATCTGAACAGATATCATATGAAAATTGAACGTAATGCCAAGAAAGTTCAAAAGTTTCAAATTTTTCAAACAGAACACGATGATGAAAATGACAGAGCAATCATAGCGATATCAGTACCCATTTGAAATTTGTTTAACTGCAAATGAATAAGTTTGGTTCAAGGGACAGTTGGTTTAATTTTTTGAAAAATTTCGCCCATACTTGCAATAAAATCAACCGAAAAATACTCTCGCAATACAATATAACCAACCTCTCGTTGTTCTTTCGTCTTTTTTTCCTCTTCCCTCTTCTTCAAGACAATATTCATATATTGTTGCATAACAGGATCTATTTCATCTGAATGATTCTCAGCTGAAGTTCCGGCTTTTGCATTCGTTTCTGCGACATCTTTCATCTGAAACGCATCAAAAATCTACTGAATTACTAAGAGCGCTATCGAATCATCAGAGGATCGAAACATTTAACCACTGAAATCGCACGTTCACATTGAAAGTATGACAATGAACATAATAACGAACACTGTTTTTTTGTCACCAAAGAAACTTCAATGAAAGAGAAGAATAAAAGAGCCCATAAAGGGAGTTTTTGCAAATTATCAACGGTAATTACGTGAAAAACGAATAAATAAAACAAAACTGTTGCGATTTTAATTTGAAAGTAATCGAAAAAACAATTGACAAAACGCAAACGAAACATTTACTTCAACAATATCAACTGACAAAATATTAAATGCTGATAATAATACTAAATAATTCACAATAATAAAATTAATCAGTTGACAAAAATAACAATAACAATAATAATATCAAAAATAATGATAATAATTCCTCACCTTTACGTCATCTTGCCCCGAAGTAACTTTAAGGATATTTTCAGCCATATTTCGTTGTTGTTCTTGTTGTTGCTGATTTCTTTTCAATAGCAAATCATTGAAAGAAGTTGTCGTCACCCTATTCTCGTTGTTGTTATTATTAACACCATCACCATTCGACAACACTTTACGTGTTAAAGGCAATTTGATCGGTGATAAAACACTAGCGTGCTGAAAGTTTTATGTGCATTGATAATTACGAAACTAATAACGTTTACAAAAGCACTGAAAATAATAAATAACAAAATAATAAAAGTAATAAATGCATTTTAGAAAATTGATGCGCATTGATGAAAACAACAAAAAATAAAGACAAATAAGCTAACCTCAACATTCTCTCCATTTTCCTCAACTTCTACAAACGACTGCATCGGTGTTGAAGTCATCAACGGTTGGACGCTAGCATTCGAAGATGACTCCAGATGAACGCTATTCGATGATGCTCTTAATGCGTTCGCTTGAAGTGCTCTTCTTTCCATCACCTTCCCTCGTTGATTTCCAACTGCTGATGGTCCAGCTCCTCGGCAATTCTCAACTTCTTGAAGTTCTGGGCAGATAAACGTATGTTCGGCATTAAACTCGTCGTTTTTGGGTAAAACTTTTCGAATTTTCGGCGTTGTCGATTCGGTTTGAGTTGGTAGTTGGTGTTGATTGCGATGAAGTGAGTGAGTTGTTTGGTTTTGATGAGAGGAACGTGTTTGATAATTGGGCAGTGTGCGATTGGCATTTGAATTTTGGAATGTGAAAAAACGACGGTGGTTATTGGGATGGTCAGTGAGTGAGACACGACGATACTTGTCGAGGGAGAGGTCGAGTTGCTGAAATTTGAATTTGACTCTGATTTTGGAGGGTTTAGTGAAATTTTACGATGAATTTAAATGAGAGCGAATAAAGCGAAACAAAAGTTTCTATCAATGATATATTGGCGAACGTGACATAAAGTTTTGCTCGAAACCTAGTGGTGTACCAATATATCATTGATGTTATGAGCCAGAGCCTGAACCAAGCTATGATTCGGCTTGTATCTTTTATCAAAGGTTATTGGGGAATGTGAACAAAACCTGTGAGAGATGGTCAATATTTCTAAGTCGATTGCGTAAGTTACGGTCAAATGAACTCGTTGATGTTGCGGAGGTTGGGGACTGCGATTCCGACGGTGATTTCATCACATGAGACCTGTAAAATACAACTGATAAAATAGATATAATGATAACAATATACAATAATAATAACAATAATACAAAATTGAAAAAGTTTTAATAAGGAATAATAAAGCAAAAAATAATAACAAATCAAAAAATCGCTTCCAACACACCTATGCTGCTGTGTAGATTCTCTAGAAACCAACTGTGAATTACTTTTATTTACTGACAACTCACTCCGTAACTTGCGGCATTCTGCTGTTTTCCTCTCTAGTTTTTCAGCCTGAAATGTTTACTGATAATGATAATAGAAATAAAAATAATATCTCTATAATAATAATAAAACAATAAAAACAAACCACAAGTTTCAGTTGAAGTTTGAGTTCGCGAACTCTCAAAGAGGAAGCCTCTTCGACAAGTTTCAAGCGATTACCCATATTTATCGCCTGTTCTTCTTTTGCTTTCAATCTCTCAGCCATAACACCACTTTCAAGCTGAAATCTATCGCAGCTAATAATAATGGTAATATCTAATAAATCTGACAATCTAATAATAAATCTAATAAATAATCGAATAATAAATCTATCATAGCTAATAAA